AAGCTGTTGAGGAAGTCGCAGATTTCCGTGGTTGGGTAGAATAATTATTAACCATTGCTCCTATGGAAGAAAGGTCCTGAAAATTCCATTCTAACAGGTTTGGATGGAAACTAAAGACCCATGGTATCCTTCTCTTCACCTTTCTTCCTTGCTTTTATACTTACTTTGTCACTTATTAACCCTTTTCTTTGCTAGGGTTTCCCATTCAGGGTGTGAGTGCCGCATCGATTTCTGCTTCGAGACTCTCTCTGTCAATGGCTTAAGAGATAATCTTGAGTTCTTCGTCAAAAAGAAAAGCTGGTAGAACACAGAATTTCGAGAGTGAAGAGGAGCACGTGGAGAGCTCGTTGGTTCATAGGTCTCGAGCTAGGATACGTATTATTTCAGATGATGAAGCTACTCCTCCTCCCATTTCTGCTCCCACGCACGAGCCTGAAGGTGCTACTATAGTAAGTTATGATGATGAGATGCCTGCCGTACCCCGTGGCTGTACTGAACAACTCTTTTCTCGTGGGTTTGATGAAGACTTCGGATTTTTTTCGAGCAAACGCCTCTTGCTTCTTTTCCGCGTCTGTTTTAGTTGACCCTCAGTTCCCTGCACCTGTTGCTATGAATATTGCTCCGCCCGTGGCTATTTTGACTCCCTCGACTATCCCTACTATTACAACTTCTCATGCTGAAGTTAGTTCCTCTAGTAAGGTAATGAAAAAAGTTATTATCGAGGTTCCTGAGGATGGTAATCTTCTAAAGAAATCCGGCCAAGCTGATGTATGGTTGAAACCATTGATTGGCCCAGTTGAGAAGTCAAAATTGGAAAGCCACAGTTCTTTAACGTGGATGAATGATATCGTACATTCATCTTTGAAGGTATAAGCATTAGATTTTTTTTTCGCACGTGATTTCCTTTTCATTGATATCACGTTTTCCAATTCATTGTGTAGATCAACCTCATTGGTACGGAGATGATGAATAGGATCATATACACAGAGCAGCTAATAAACGATTATCACATCAAGGCAGACAACTGGAAGGAGCAGTTCGATAGTTTTCAACTTGAGAAAGAAGTCTTAGAGGAAGAAAAGTGTACCTTGGAGCAGCAGGTGAAAGTAATGGCAGCTGAATTGGCAGTTGAGAAAGCCTCGTCTAATCAGGCGGGCAATGATAAAAAACTTCTTGAGTCTTCATTTGCTGAGCAACTTTCTAACGCCACTGAAGAAATTAGGGGTCTGAAGGAACTACTGAACCAGAAAGAAGTTTACGCTGGGGAGCTTGTTCAAACACTCACTCAGACCCAAGAAGATCTTCGAGTATCTTCTAACAGAATTCAATTTTTAGATTGTTCTCTTTCCCCCTTACAGGCTTGATATGACGCTGCCTTAAATGAGAAGGAAAAGCTTAGAAGTGAGATTGAGCAGTGGGAAAGAGATTATGAAGCCCTTGAAGATAAGACCGCTGTTGAAGTTAGTTGGGCTTTCTTGATTACACGCCTCGCCACTTTAACGGAGGCAAGCTGGGAAGGCTTTGAATTAGCTGCTGAGATTGCAAACATTAAAGAAACTATTGAGAAAACTCAACAGAGTCAGAGCTTTTCTTCACCTGCGGTTGACATTCACGAAGGTGATGAAGTTACTCCTGGTGAAGATGCTGTTCAATCTCCTTCTGCTCAAGTTGTTCCTCCTGCCATTAATGATACCATTCTTCATCCTACTGGTTCAGATTCTGCCCCATAGTGAAAGTTTGAAAAGCTTGAAGTGTTGTTTCATTTTTTATTGGTGGAGTGTTTGGAAGTTTACCCCTGGTCCTATTTAAGGGTTTAGTAATGTTTGAACTTTTTCACCCCTAGTATGCTTTGGGGATTTAATATCAAGTAATTAGGTTGGAACTAAGTTCTATACTTAGTTTCAACCAAGTTTATAATATTACTGAGTTTTTGTCTAACTCTTATAATACCTTTATTTTGAGTTTCTATTCTACTCTCTTATCTTTTTACCCTTGCCTTATTTCGGGTTTTGAAGACAAATGTTTGCCTTATATTTATAAGTTTTTGGCTTTTTCTTCTGCTTATTTTAATGTTTGGGTTTTTGTTTTACCCTTTGTTATTTAACTTTGCATTAAAAAATGCTTCGATGCTTTGTGACTCTTTTGAATTAGCACGAATTATAAAAGACGGCCCTTTTATATACGACACTTAATGAAGAAGATGTCTCAACTTCATATTGGTGTAAACGTACGAAAGAAGAAGTAGGAACATACATATTTCTTAGAATAACTTGAAGAAGTTTTGTATTCTTGAACTTTCAAACTTTATACTTTACATGTATTCGAATAACATCTACAACTCTTTCATAACTATTTTCTTTATAACAAATGTTACAAGATTCAAGGGTATATTTTGCAACCCTTAACTAAATATTGCCTTTAACCTAGATACTCATAAGATTTGATAATTTTCATATTCGAGTGTATACTTCATCATAGCTTTTTGAATCAGGCTTGAATTTTCGGCTCTTGACTTGCTCGCTCTAAAGTTTCGATTTGTTGGGTAGATTGCTTCAGGCTTGACTCGAATTTTGACTTTTCTAGTCTTCGTCGCCTTCCATATATATATAGTCCCCCAAGTCTTAGAGCTTTGAAGTATGAAATCTTGAGCACTTGATTATTCCTTCCATGTGGTCCATTTCCTGAAAAGGAAAAACATACGGGACTCGGAGGTATAATTTTAGATGATGACTGCTTAACCCTTTTCATTTCCATCAGAAAGGTTGTAACCCGGACTGGGGATAATTTTACATCCCGCGTATCTTTTAGGTCTAAAATCATCATTTGGTGTGGGCTAGCTTTGTGCCTAATATCTAAAATGGTTACTACAATTTAAAAATGAATAAATTTAAACCTTGCATTTTTTTTTAGCAATCCACTAGGCAAGGCCTAGGGCTAGTTTTTATTTATATAAACAAAATAAAGGAAAAATAAAATGTCATGGAGTCCTAATAATTGTACAAAATAAAAATTGAACTCTACATAAGTCCTATTATCAAAATTGAGAAATGTACTCAAAATTGATATCACATAACAACTACTAAATATTGCAAAATAAACTAGCCCATGAGATAACATATTCCTTGATCCAGTCCAAAAAATACCGTCCAATTGGGCCCAAATTAGCGCCCATCTCCAATTCTTGACTGCCCGGCCCAACTTCATATAGCGACCCAAATTTTGGCCCAGCTCCGGTTCTGCCCAGTCCAATCCACCGTTCCAGTTGCCTTGCGTGAATAGCCACCAATAATTCTCAATTCCATCTCATTGAATTTGCAAATGTAACCACTTCAATTTCCTTCTTACCAATGTACACGTGTTGCCTTATACTGCACCATTTGTATACCTTTTTAGTACATGTATTCTCTCATTTGTGCTCCATTTACCCATATGCTTATGTCTGTACCTCTCATAGATATTATCGATTCCCCCTATGTTCTCTTCCACCCCCATTATGTCTTCTTCCTTATAATGTCTTATCCAATCTTGCTTATTTACTCTGCTCCTTGCTTGAATCATCCTATTTGTACCTGAGTTAAGCTGCTTCATGATGCTGAGCTGCCTTTGTACCTGAAGATTGTCTCTCCTGTCCGCTGCATTTGATGTGAAGACCAGAGGTTGCCAAGATCCGTTTGAGATGCCATTGATCAGTAAAAGGCCCTGCTTTGCCTTGGTTGGATTGCATGTGACTGCTTCAATCGAGTTTGTAATCTTACTGTTCTTGCATAATGTCTTGAGGATAATAGCCTTCAGTGCCTCTCTTTGTTTTTTCCTGCATATACCTAATTTAATGTATGCCTGAGTCCCTGTATGTAATGCCTTGAAATCCCCCTTGTGCTTTGCTATTTTCTTCCAAGTGTGCATCATCCAGCTAACTTCTCTCAAAGTGAGAAATTTGCTGTCTGCAGACTGTGTGTATAAGTGACACCATAACTTTGCTTGCTTGTCTTTTGTGCCGATTGTTATTATCTTTCTTTTGTGAATGTGGAATCCTGCTCTCCTGTGTGATGATTTGCAATTGAACCCTATAGTATTTGTGAACAACACTGTAGCCTTCCTAGTTGCCATACTATAATCTAGGTTTAATTTCTCCCCGATGGAATGAGTACATAGTACTGATACCACCATCTGGGAATTCCTTAAACCATAGAGTATAGATACTATTGCAAAATCTGAGTGGTCCCATATGTTTGCTTGCTTTGTTTTTGTGCTTGTTGGTATTATCTGTCTTCTGTGTATGTGATATCCTGCCCTCCGATGGGATGATTTTTGACTCCTGTATTCTACTGTGCTTTCCCTTGCATTCCTCTCCTTGGATTGAGTACAAAGTACTGATACCACCAAGTGAGATTTGTTCAAGAGAAAGGCCATGATGACATTAGCATTCCCTGCAAAAAAGAAAACTAGGTTAGTAATAAAAACTATCACTATACTCTCCTCCTTTTGGATTTGAGTATAATGATAGATTGCATTACTAGCAACTCTCCTGCTCACTATTGACAGTCTTCTTTCCTTATATCTATTCCAGTCTCTTGTGAGATGTGTTTGTGATTGCCCAATTCGATTAGACATTCTGGGCTTCTTCTGATATCTTTCTACTTTTATATTGCTGCCCACCAAGCCTTGTACTGTTCTGCTATCCTGCTGCTTGTACATTGTCTGGTGTTGTCCTATCTCTGTGATTGCTATACATACAGAGATTTTGGACTGTAACTTGATCCTTATTGCCTCTAGGTATTTTACCACTTCTAACTTCTTTCCCCTGGAATGGATGCAAGGCACCAATACCACCAGTAGGAGATCCATTAGAAAGTAGTGCCTATAGGACTCACCTGCAAAAAAGAACACAAGGTTAGTGAAAACCATCAGCATACTCTCCTCCATAAGGATTTGAGTATGTTGATCATCTGAATGGCATCTAGTCCCTTCCTTCCCCTTTGCTGCAAATACTCCACTCCTGCTTATCCCCTTGCAACTGAAACTCTTATATAAGGGCATTGTATTTTGTCTGAGTTCACCAATTTCCTCCCCTGAACATCTAGGTCCTGAAACCCATAGCATTCCATAGGTCCAAAGTCTAGTGCATAATTAGCAATGTGGTCAGCTAACTTATTGCCTACCCTGAGAGTATGTGACACCTTTACATTAGCTGTACTCATTAAATCTCTAATCTCCTCTACCAATGGACCTATAACCCAAGGTGGCTTCCATTCTCCAGTTATTGCCTTCTTTAGCACCATTGAATCTGTGTGTAAATCTATAAGGATATAATCATGTTGCACACAAAACTTCAGAGATTCATAAATGGCCTTGGCTTCAGCTACTGAGTTTGAACCTTCCTGAATTTCCTTGCCATATGCATACAGAACATCCCCCTCCTCATTTCTTAATACAAAACCAATAGAGCTCCTTCCTGGGTTACCTCTAGAGGTTCCATCTGTATTAACTTTCACCCATCCATGGTTTGGGAATTCCCACAGTACTTTTGTATATTTAAGAGTTGGTGTGTATTGCTCCATCATCTTCAACATGTCTGGCCATCTGTGAGGTACCTGCTGAACTCCTGGCTTTCTTACCTTGATGAGTGATTGTAGAGTAGTTGATATCTGGTAGGTCACTCTATTTATAGTAACTGCATCTCCATACTTATAGCTATTTCTTCTCTTCCATAATTCCCATATGATTATAGATGGTAGGACCTGCATTATTAGCTTTAATCTTGCTACTACATCTGCAGTCCAGCATCTAATAATGGCTTGATGCAGTGTGATTCCCTCTGTTGCCAATCCTGCATGTTCCACAAAGTATTTCCACACCTTGTTTGCTGCATATGAGGTGAAGAATAAGTGCTGTGTTGTCTCCTCTTTTGGTTCTCCACAACACCAGCACTTAGATGCCATCTGATACCCCAATCTTCTGAAAAATTCATCTAAAGGCAATTTATTTTTCCACACTTTCCACATAAAAAAGAAATTTCGAAGGGCAATCCTTTCACCCATATCATCCTGTATGATATCATAGGATCGGCTCTTCTCCTTAAATAGTCCCAGGCTGTTCTCACACTGAAGAATCCTCTAGGTTCTAGCATCCAACATGGAGAATCTAATACTCCTTGTGTCACAGGTAGCCTATTCTTCTGAATTATGTGTTCAGCATACTCATAAGGCAATATTTCAAATAATTATCTTGCTGCATTCCATTCTCCTGCTTCTACTACATCCCAGACATTGTGAATAGACTCATCAATCCTAAATTCTTGTGGAACTAGGAAATACAATGCTCCCATGCCTGTCCAGTTGTCATACCAAAACAGTGCTGAGCCCATTTTTGAATTCCACATTATCTGATGTTCTATTAGTTCCCTGCACTCCAACATTTTCCTCCATATATGAGATCCTTCTCTCCAAGGCACTACTACTGAATTCAGCTTTTTGTAGTATTTTTGACTTGTAAAAGAACTCCAAAGGCTTGGTTTTGTTCTATAATTCCACCAAAGTTTGCAAAAAAGAGCTTTTGCAACATCATGGAGGGACCTGAAACCAATCCCACCTTCCTCATATGGCACACATAAAGTTGACCATGAAGCCCAATGTCTGTTATTTCCTGTCACTGAACTGCTCCAAAAAAACTGAGCAAATATTTTATGTAATCGATTGATCACATAATTTGGTGGATTAACAGCTGAGAGTAAGTGAATTGGCATGCTTTGCAAAACGTGTGCAATAAGAATTGCCCTTCCTCCTATTGACAATAGCTTGCCTTTCCATGATTGAAGCCTATCCAGTACTTTTGTAATCATTGGTTGGTAATACTCTAATTTCCTCCTTGAATAAAATATAGGACATCCCAGATATATGATAGGAAAATCTTGCCTCTTTATACCTGTGATTCTCTCTACCTTATCTGCAACTTCAATGTCTGTTAAATGATGAAGATATACTGCAGACTTAGCTTTATTCACCAACTGCCCTGATGCATTCTCATATGCTGCAAGAACTTCCATGATAAGCATCAGAGATGTTGCATCTGAAGAAGAGAAAATAATGGTATCATCTGCATAAGCTAGATGATTTATTTTTGGGCTCCATTTAGGCATTCCATATCCACAGAAGTGCAGGTTCAAATGTAATGCATTAAGACCTCTAGATAGAGCTTCTGCAGCTAGAATGAATAGTGTAGGAGATAAGGGATCCCCTTGTTTCACTCCTCTTGATGATTTGAAAAATCCATGTGCTTGCCCATTGATTAATACAGAATACCAATTATTAGACACTATGCCAAACACCATGCCTATGAATCTCTCTGAAAATCCCATTTTCCTCAAGACTTTGGTCAGAAACAGCCAAGAGAGTCTATCATAAGCCTTGGTCATGTCCAATTTCATAATCACATTTGGTCCAACCTTTGTTCTTAATCTCATGTCTGTGACTATTTCCTGAGTGAGTAAAATGTTTTCTACAATAGCTCCTACCCTTCTACAAACCAACGATTGCTCCTCAGATATTAAACTTGGCAACAACCCTACTAACCTCTCATGTATCACCCTAGAGATTACCTTGTTAGAAAAGTTACTCAAGCTAATTGGTCTCAGGTCAGAAAATGTACAGACCTACCCTTTTTCTTGGTAGCAAAACCAAGTTAGTATGAGTAACATATTTAGGTAAATCATGGCCATTGAAAAAAGCTTTTACCATTTCAAACAGATCACCTCCTATAATATCCCAGCATGATTGATAGAATTTGCCTGTGAAACCATCTGGTCCTCCTGCACTATCCCCATTAAGACCAAAAACTGCAGCTTTAACCTCTTCTAAGGATGGCTGCTTTATCAGTTCTGAATTCTGTTCCATGTCTATTAAAGAGGGCACATGATGAATGATTTCAAAGGAGGTAGGAACTGCAGTTTCTGTGAACTGATCTTCAAAGAATTTGATTGCTTCCTTTGCTATGTCTTCATCTTCTTCAATCCACACACCTTGAGTATTTTGAATTCTGGATATCTGTAACTTCTTCCTTCTACCTCTAACTTCTGCATAAAAAAATTTAGTGTTCCTGTCTCCATTTTTGAACCAAGCCATTCCTGCTTTTTGTTTCCAAAACTTCTCCTTCAAAGCTAAAATTTAATGAGTTCAGCTTGTACTTTTTGCAACCTTTGTCTGTTTAGCTTGGTAGGATTTGCTTCAAATTCAGCTTCATGAACAAGGACAACCTTTTCCAAACTAGCTATCTTCTGAAAAATGTCTCCAAAGGTTTCCTTGCTCCATCCTGTTAATACTTTCTTAAGCTTCTTCAATTTGTGATTGAATATGACATAAGGACTTGCACTGAAATCAGCTGTCTAATGTTGTCTCACCACTTCTTTGAAAGATGCATGATCCACCCAAAAATTCAAGAATCTGAATGGTTTCTTCACAAGAGGAGTCTCTATATCACACTTTATTTGAAGAGGGCTATGATCTGATCCTATCTTAGGTAAGTGCTGAACTTCTATTCCTGGGAAAGCTTGCTGAAACTCAGTATTTGCCACACACCTGTCTAGCCTCTTAAAGATACAATCTTCTTCTGCCCTACCATTCCACCATGTAAATATGCTGCCCTTGAATCCCAAATCTATCAAGTTGCAGGTGTTAATCCAATGCCTGAAATCATCTATTTCATTTAGAGATACTGGGAGACCTCCAAACTTTTCTTCCTCATCCCAAATGACATTGAAGTCACCACCAACTAACCATGGAACTGTCATATTTTGTGCCAAATAATAAAGTGAATCCCATAGTTCAATTCTTTCTATGACATCACACTTAGCATACACCAATGTAAGAACAAACTCAAAATGAGATTCTGTGTGAAGCAATCTCAGAGTTAACTGCTGGACTAAGTTATACACTACTGTTACTTCATATACTTCATCAATGAAAGCCCAGATCTTGTTTGATACATTTGCAATTGCCTGTGCAAATCCAATTCTGCTCCTATATCTTTCTAATGTTCTAGCAGGCTGCATGGGTTCCATTAATCCTATAAATTCATAATTGTTCTTCCTGTGCATTTTGATTAGCCTTTCAAAGGCTTGTTGGGTATTAACTGACCTGATATTCCATATTAGAGCATCCATCACTGAATAAGGGATTTGGATAATTTTCTCCTTGTTTGAACTCCTCCTGAAGGTACAACAGAGCTAGTTTCTTTCTGCTGTTTTTTCTTTCCTTTTGTAGCTGATTTTGCCTTTTCAAGTATCCTGGGTGATAAGTCCCCTTGCCTTCCTATATTCTGAAAATTCTGAGCTGTGGATTCTTGATCCATGTCTTGACCTGTTCTAGCCATTGTTTCTACAGCCTCATCTATCTCATGATCTTTATCTGTAGCTGTAGCCACAACTGGTTGTTGTTGAAGTTGAGACTCCATGATCTGCTCTTCACCTTTCTTGAAATTCTCCTTCTGATTTTGTTCTATCAAAGCAGTAGTATTTGTTGCTCCCACAACCATACTGGCCTGCATTCCTTTATCTCTTTCCATAGATGCCAGCTGCTCAGCATCATATGTTTGACCTGTCCCTCCTGGATCCACTGCATCAATTCTTACTGCCTCTGCTATGTTCCCTTGAATATTTTGTTCTTCTTGTCTGTCTTGTGTGACCTCTATTTCAGCAGTCCTCCCTTGTATTGGTGCACCATCAGCATTATTTGTTGTGACAATGGCATTACCATTTACACTTTGCTCTTCTTCTTCCTTGTCTTCATGAATTGGTTCTTCATCTGGTTGTGCCCCTAATGGAACCTCATCTTCTTCTGAATCAATTTACCTTTGATCTGACCATAATCTACCACCAATCCTTTGGTCTCTTATGCTTACCTTAGGAATAGGTATATCATTTGCTTGGATCTCTGGATTGTTAGCCAACTCCCTATCCACCATAGTGTCCTGTGATGGAATCTCCTGACATGATGTGTTAGTTCCTACATCATTAGCCTTGAAAGCTCTTTTTACCCACTGTGATGTAGTTTCTCTTCCCATAGGTATTTCTTGTCCATTAGCACCCCCATTGGTTGACTCAATGCCTGCTGAATTTGGATTGAACTCTTGAGCTGTAGGGTTCAATCTTCCTGTGAAAGTGGTTACCTAATGTTGATTGTTATGCACTCCACCATTCTTTCCTTTGCTTGGGCTTTTAGGATCTGATTGTACTGCACCTAAAACCATCTGAATATCATTCCCTAGGTCTTTTTGTGTTAAGTTCTTAGGATTTTTTTATTTGTTTTTGTTCCAAAGAAGAGTCTAGAAGGGTCCCTAGGCTTAATGGACTAATCCGAATTGGGCTCTAAAACTCTTAAAATTGTAATCCAATACCTTAATTGACTCCTTTTAAAATAAGATAAAAATACTACACAATGCCAAAGCTAATCCTAATTAATTAAACTAAACATGAAACTATTTTTGTGTTTTCGAAAAAAAGAGATAATAACAAGGTACTATTTTTGTATTTTTTTTTGAAAAATATATAAACTAAAATGTTTTTGTAATTTTCCATTATTATGACGAAAATAAAGTAAAGAAGTCAAAAAAATAGTTGAAATAGCTATATTAGGCCTAAATTAAATATTTACATGCTAAAATATAAAAAATCTTTGGGAGGGTCAAAAATCACATGTCTACAGCTGCCCCTCTTTGACTGGAAACGCGAAGAGTTTTCAGACAAAGAATGACTAGACAGATTTTTGACCCGATCCTTATTTGGAGAGACTTAAAGCTAAAAGAAAGGAGAATGTGACCGAGCCCTGGTATTTGAGCTGCCAACATATCCTTGGCTATAAAGGAATCAGGCCACGTGTAGTTCAGAAATGAATGAGGTGATGGAGTGTGTGAAGAGGATGAGAGAGTCGAGTGAGGTTCCGTCCGAGGCTCCGGTCCGCGGTCCCTTTATTACATCAAAATCAAAAATGAAAAAGACTAACTAAGCCTATCATCTACGTGCTACAAGATTCCTATCTATGAGTCTTCTGAAGCTTGATCTTGGGTCTTGGTTGGTTCTTCATGCGGACCCTGATCTGAATCTTGATGCTTGTTAGCTGCAGGTATTGGTTCAATCTTCTTCAGCTTTTCAAACCAAGACGGGACATGCAGAGCCTGTGAACTCAGCCCTGTCTTGAGCAGCTCACATCTTCCATTAACTTTTGTATTTGGATTCACTTCTTTTTCTTTTCTTCTTTTTCTTCATTCTGGATTGAGACTCATTCTTTTGGTCATCTCGAATCTTGTGCCTTGAGGTACAACCTGTTCAGACACCAAAACAAACAAACGAACGAAATTTTTCTGCCCCAATTTTCACTAGGAAAATTTGTGAGTTGTTAGAAGAACTATACACCTACGCTGCTGATAAAGGATGCAATGATGAGAGTAAAATTAATGACTCGACTAGGATGAGCATCTCCTAAACGTGATTGAACTTGCGGAAAACTATAAGCTAAGCTTGACTAAAGTAAAGATTGACCCTATTCTCCAGGCGGGACCCCTGATTTCAAGAAAACTAAAAATTGACCCGCTTTTTTTCAAATCCAGACTTCCCTTCTTCTTCTTTTTTTATAAAAATTTATTCTAGGAGAAAATTCGTCAGACTAGGTTTTCTATCTTAGGAGAAAGATTTATCAGACTAAGACGTTTATCCTAGGGGAAAATTCATCAGACTAGGTTTTTTTTTTGGTATCTTAGTAGAAAAATTCATCAGACTAAGATTTTGATCCTAGGAGAAAATTCATCAGACTAGGTATTCTATCTTAGGAGAAAAATTCATCAGACTAAGATTTTGATCCTAGGAGAAAATTTATCAGACTAAGTCTCTTTTTTTGATATCTTAGGAGAAAGATTCATCAGACTAAGATTTATATCCTAGGAGAAAGTTCATCAGACTAGGTCTTCTATCTTAGGAGAAAAATTCATCAGACTAAGATTTCTATCCTAGGAGAAAATTCATCAGACTAGGTTTCTTTTTTTTTGGTATCTTAGGAGAAAGATTCATCAGACTAAGATTTATATCCTAGGAGAAAGTTCATCAGACTAGGTTTTCTATCTTAGGAGAAAAATTCATCAGACTAAGATTTTGATCCTAGGAGAAAATTCATCAGACTAGGTCTTCTATCTTAGGAGAAAAATTCATCAGACTAAGATTTATATTGGGAGGAAAATCCATCAAACTAGGACTTTTTATCCTAAGAGGAAAAATGTGAAGATCAATGGCAAGATTTTGTGCACAATAGCAAGACAAATAAAGGCAAAGATTTGAGAAACTTCCCTTTGTTGGCTCTTCTTTCTTTTCTTTTTCTTATTTTTTTTTTGGTTGTCTTTTTTTCTTTTTTCTCTTTTTTTTTGAACCACTTTCCTTGCATTGCTTTGTTCCTGTTTCACACAAAGAAAAATTTGTCAGTTTTGAAGATGGTGGTCGGTTTGTGGCCTTGAATCTTGAGCAACTTGGCTTTTGCTCAATCAACTTGAGTCGGTTTCAAGAGACTTTTACTATGCATCAACCCTGATTGTTTCACACCCATTACCATTTCTATTTGCAGCTCAAACAGCCTTATCCCAACTGGAGATCTTTTCTTAGGTGACCTTTTCCGATATCTTGAATGACTTTCTACTTTTGAGTAATTTGTCTGTCAGAGAGAATCACCAATTATCTTTGCTTGTGCCAAGTAGGCTGACAAGAGCTTTTTGGGGAAGCCTTTGCATCAATCCTCAAGGCATGTTAACAATACAACAACTGAGCGTGTTGGCCAAATTTACTTTGTGCAACTGAAAAGTTAGTAACAGATTTTGAAATCTTTTCTTGCTTGTTTCGACAGGACTGACTCAGAGTAAAGGACACAATGATGCAAAGAACAAGTATTAACAAGAAATGCCCCTGTCGGAAGGACAGAAGGAAGAGTTTTTTTTTCCAATAACAAGCCTTAATGGTCATGACATGCATTTTGGACTCAACGGCCTGATCTATCAAACTAATCCGATTTTCCCTTTTGCCATTCTTATGACCTTTGAAGTCGGGCTTGTTTATGCTAATTCTTCGGATCAGCCTCACGTCTCACTTTCGACAAGTAGTGCCCGAGGGGTTTTCACCAACAAGTCTCTCTTATTTATTCATCTCTGCTTACCATCGTCTTACAGTGTCCGTGAGGGTTTTCACTAGCAAGACTCTCTCATTTTTTCTTATTCTTTTTTCTTTCCTCTTTTTTTTTTTTGATTTACTTTTGCGAGCAACTTGGCAGTGTTCTATGTCGTGTGACAACCGTTGCTCATTGCATGCTTCCTTGACATTCTTGAAGGCATTTCGGGAGGTCTTTATTCGGAAGGATTTTGGATAGGGTTGGAAAGAAAGGACGTCATGAAGGCTCAAAATAGACTCAAAATTTAAGGGGGTTGTAGACTTACAACTCTTGGAATCGGCTCTTTCAAAAGTGAAATAAAATCTTTGCCCCAGTTTCAACCATTGGGGATTTTTTTCTTGAATTCTTATTTGATTGGACCGAACCGTGAGGCTGCCTACATATCCTTTAAAGGAATCAGGTCTAACGTAGTTCAAACATCTGACCTAACTCTTTTTTTCTTCTTCTTTTTTTTTATCTTTCTTTCTTTTTCTTTGTCTTTTCTTTTTCCTTTTTTTTTCCTTTTCTTTTTTGTCTTTTCTTTTTCTTTCTTCTTTTTTTTGTTCGCCCCAGCTTCTATTTTTGAGGGCATGGACCTTTGACAATTCTTTTCTTCTTTTTTTTTTTCACTTAGAACTTTCCAAAAACTGCCCCAGTTTGTACTCTTGGAGCATGGACTTTTATCATTATTTCATTTTTTCTTTTTTTTTTTCTAAACCTGATTCCAAAAGAGGGTGGTCAAAGAAAATAACACAGGCTCAAAAGGGGTAACAAAGGGTATAAAGTGTTTGGGTAGCAGAAAAAGGGCCTCCAAACCTCAAGAACGCCAAACATATTATCCTTTTGCAATCACAACATTGATGACATGCCTGTCTTCTTGGTGTGTCGTGGTCACAAGACACTTTTCATCTATTAATGTCAAACTTTCCAACAAACTTCAATTAATTCTCCCTCAGGCCCGATCTTCACAATGATTTGAAGGTGA